TTCCTTGACGTCACCTAGCCAGAATGAACAACCAATGTTATATATTCGTGTATCTAAATGTGTGATAGCAACTTCTCGTGGTCTTGTTTGTATAGGTGTGACATTAATTTTAAAAGAAAGATAGGCGCTTCCTAACCGGATTCCTTTCTGCTGTCGTTTATGTGCTTTCCGTACAGTAAGACATTAGAAGGATAGGGACCTATGCATCTGCCAAACCTTTATCTGAAGTTTGTGCTGATGATGTCGTTCAGAAGAACGATGAAAGCTCCATGACCAAACTATCCAGCTCAGAGAACAAGTCTTCTCCGCCATCTCTTATCATGTTTCTCCTTTTGCTCCCATTGATGGAGGCTCAAGTGAAGTAAAGCTGAGTTTTACAAAAGAACTTTGACCTATACAAGCACATATTTTCCTTTAAAAATCTATAGTCATATTCATTTTGTGTTTGTATTCAGCTTTTCAGTGCTTACGATTTGGAATGCATCCGAACATATACTACCGAACGTCCGATAAATTCTGCTGCTATTTCACCTAATAGAGATCACGTAAGTTATTTTAATATTCAGAAACTACTGTGTATATGATGTAAGTTGTGTCTCGAAACTTTTTCATACTATTACCTCAGCTTCATCAATCAATAACTGTTAATTCCATTCAAAAACTGCACAAGGTCGTGTCTGGTTTATAGGTCATAATCAACGATTTCTTCGAATACTGAAGTAGTAAAATTTCTACAGTCCTATCCACAAAGTTCTAATAAACCGATGTATGTTCACCTGATGGAAACATTCTTTATTTCTTTGAGTCATAACTATTTTTCCGTTGCTGGTAGCATTATCATACAGCTATCAAGTCTAATTCATCAAAGCTAGTGTTTTAAAATGAACATCACCATTTGAATAACGGTCTCTATTATATTCAAACGCACATTGTCGGAATGCAGAAATACTAACCTGTTGTTATCACACTAAGCATGACCATCAACTCTGGAGTGTTTAAAATAATGGATATAGAACAACTGCATATACAACTGAATAGTTTGTGCTCAGATTAACACAAGGATGACTCGAGTTGTCTAGATTATCAATATACTAATTTGCATTAGTTCATCTTCTCTACCAAAGCAACACTAACACACACAAGCTTCTCCACTATTTCTGACGGTACGCCAAGCTAAATATTGCAGACTTTCAATCGTGTAGACGTTCTTTACTCTACGACTGTTTGAAGCACATACTATGTCTAATAAAAGAGCATTCTGTTTCAATAAAACGAAAGCACTGTTCCTAGCTAAATTGTAGTTAGCAGTTGTTTGTATGGGTAGCAATCGACTAAAGTTTTTTATAAGAATTTCGCCGACGATTTATTCCTGACTAGAGTTGATCTACCACGACAATTTAGAAATCAGTTACTTAAATGCTGACATTATTGGTCAAACTAAAGTAGATGTGATCATCTTTTGAACCTGCTAATCAAATGCTAGAAATTCCAGACTGCATTCGTTTAACTTACCTAAGAAGTTGATAAAAAGAACAGATTATCAAACTGTTCCACTTTCACTAATTATAAGAAGGAACATTGCTTATAAGTCTACTGGATCATGTCATCTTGAAATTATCTAATGAAAACTCGACATGAATATTTAGAAAGCCTAGTTGGTTTCCTCCAACTTACATCAAATAAAGGACGAGTTTACTGTGCAGCAGTTCTTTCCGTTAACGAATTGTATTTCAGATGCTTAATGTTTTCTATTGATATTAATCCTGTTACTAACTCTACTATTCTGAGATTTACCCTGACAATTTCACCTTGGTGTGTCAATGAGGTACGTGAACTTGAACTGGTTCTATGTTGTGTTTAACTGACTGAATGAATTATAATGAACCATATTATCTGGATTACTTAACGAATAATATCTGTCATCCAGAAACCACATGACAAAATTCATATTCAATATATCCGCTTAATTGTTAAAGGAATAATAATAATAATTTTACGAATTTAGTTAATACTTACAAATTGCCCAGTTTAACTATTTAATTACCACTCATACAATTGTTAGTAAACTAATAAAAATCTTTGTATACTAGGAAAAGTAAGTTAGGTTTTGGAATATCTGTTGCACCAGTTTTTGATAGTTTTTTTTCTCGGAGCTGGATGGTTTGGTCGTGGAGCTGTCATCGTCCTTCTGAACGACATCATCAGCACAAAATTCAGGTAGATGTGAAGTGTTCGGATTTCTCCACATGTGGTTCACAGCTTGTCCTGTACACCTCAATGTTGACTGGCTCTTGTTGACCTTAAACATGTCATTGTTACGGTCAACAAGAGCCAGTCAACATTGAGGTGTACAGGACAAGCTGTGAACCACATGTGGAGAAATCCGAACACTTCACATCTACCTGAATTTTGTGCTGATGATGTCGTTCAGAAGAACGATGACAGCTCCACGACCAAACCATCCACTTGAGCTACAAGTCGTCACCATCTGTTGCACCAGTGTACAGTGAATTTCAGTAAGATATATCAGTATTAAAGCCTTATAGATGTCACGTAACCCTTTTTATCTGTTGTGTTAGCACCTTGTATATAGTATTCTATCATTTTATTTTTCTCATTAAAATTAGGTCTTATTAGGAGGTGGTCAAGAAGCTCATGAAGTAACAACAACAGCTGTTGGCCAAGGAAAATTCGATGTTAGATTCTATCATTTAATTTATGAAGAGGAATTTGGTCGTGTTAAAGGACATTTCGGTCCTGTTAATAGTGTAGCATTCACACCAAATGGCAATGGGTACGTTTATAATATGTATATTTTTAAATATCCTCTAAAGAATAACTGGTTTTATTGTTAAAATGGATTTTTTGAACGCCTACAAAATCTAATACAACATAGTAACAGACTGGATTAATATAATATCCTTAGTTTGATTTGTTATTTGTCGCAGTAGTAGTTAATTTTAATGTATCATACGGAATCCAGGTTCTTGAACACACCGACACCTCTTCCCATCGTCTTTATCCAAACCTATCAGCTTAACCATAACTTGGTGTATTAACACATAGTATAGCTTTTGTCTTTCACATGCTTCTCATGTCCTGTGTTAGTTGTCACGATGTTTATTCGTTTCATTTTGTTTAAATTTGACAGATTCGCAACTGGTGGAGAAGAAGGCTATGTTCGACTGCACACATTCGATAGTGAATACAATGATTTGGATCAACGTCTTTTCTGAAATAAGAAACTTCCATGCTGTCACCTTGGTGACTTGTACTAAACGCTCGACAGAAAAATAAATGAAACTAAACTTTCCATTGACATTTTCTTGTTTGTAAAATCTCTATGATCTTCAAACTACAATTAGTCCGCTCTATTCCGATTTAACTGGAAAAACTTTTTTTAAAAAAAACATTGTACGCATTATCCTCGAAGCAAAAATGATCACGAAGTAATAAAGACGTTATGTTACTGTAAATGAGATCGGTCTTACTAAATTTCACATTGATGCATATCGTTTGTAAGATCCATATCGCTCATCTCATCACGAAAAATTAGATCATCTTTTGATAATATTCAACACGATACTCGTGAGCTCCTTTAGTCAACATTATTGTAGGCTTATAGGTACTAATCCTAACGAACTTCTCATTATTATATTACAGAAACTTCGGAAAAATTCTGTGAAAAAGATGGTGGTTTAATTAGTTCTATAGAGGTGGGTGACTTTGACTATTCAACAGTAGCTTTCAGAATAAAAACCAGGATATCTTGGTTCTTTCTCACTTTTTGGATGAAGTGTACTTGACAATCTAGTGATTTTATACATTATTAAATATGGCTTGGTACAATTAATCATTTATTACTTATACATTGCATTCTTGATAATCAGTGAAAAATGCTCTTTAGATGAATTAAATGTTTCCCTTGGTTGCGAATGAGGTCCTCCCGAGTGCTGTTAGGTATGGCGAATGTTGTCACTTGATGGTTTCCCATACCGTGAAAAGATAACTTTTATTGAAATACGTAAAACAGAAACTGGGACGTTACTTGAAACTGGTTACGCGCAAGCATGTTCGATTAGTTAACTCAAAGGAGACGTATGCTCGAGACCTTACCGCCGGCGACGAACACCCGTGGAGTGAGGTGAGATGCGTTAGACTGCAAGGTCGACTTCTGCCTTCCGTTGTATGACAGAGATCCTGGTCGTCTAAGTGAAGCACCACTGCTGTCACATCTCCATTGTAGTCCGCTGTTTAACTTTGTCTTCTGACTACGACCTTGTCGCTTTAGTCTTACCACTCCAATAAATTGACCCAGCATGGTAGGACCGAAAAAACGAGTAATCCAGCCAATGTGGCTCGATTGGATCATTACGATATGGCAGTTATAATCGGGCCCTCACACACACGATTTTCCTTGCAATAAGTGTTTGAATCTGAATCACTAAACAATTTTCAGGAATAAATATAAGTCTTTAACTTTAAAGAATCAGAAATATATAATAGGTTAATTTGCAAACGCATTAAACCGGAATAATTGCCAACCATACACGAAGTGGTTTTTCAATCCAATACTCTTTATAAGTTAAACTCCACATTGTCACTCAACAAATTTCTTCTCACTTGTCTCATAGTAACCAAATCATGAAAACATCCCTCAAGAGGATATACCATTGACATCACTATGCATATAAGTATATAAATACACCGTGTGTTGATTAGCAGAATTTCAAACGCCTATAGCATGCTATTAAAAAACAATAAAGAAAAGACAGGAAAGCAAACATCAAGATTTGAAGAAAAAAATGACTGTTAACAGTTTAACAGCAAAACCAAGATAACCCCTCTGTTGACAGTGTCGATATATATATATATATATATATATATATCAGTGATCTGATCTAAGTATTACTAGACTAATAAGCAATAGGATTGATAGGGATAATAAAGACAATAACTAATTACGTAACAAACATCAAAACACAGACAAAAGAGATTTTCTCTAAATAAATAAGAAATTATGTAATTGAAACCAGTAAGCAAATGTACAAACAAGGCGCTCAAACTGAACAAATACACAACAACGAAACAAAAAGAAGATAATTTATAATTTTAAATTATCCAATGGTAAATTATAATTCATTTTAGATTCATCTGATGATAATTTAGTTGTTATAGTTGATGTAAATGAACGACTCATTGTTGAATTAGTTGTTCTATTCAGGTATTGATTATGATGATATGTATGTTCATTAGTTTTATTATCTAATGGTTCAGATATCTATAAAATATAATAGGAAAAAAACAAAAGAAATTTGAAAACATAAATTATATAATTAATGTTGAAAGTCGAGTAAGTAACGTAGTTGTTAAGAAACGAGTATTAGGTAAGGATGGCAAGTCAATTGATGAAGTAGTGAAACTTCATCAGTTGAGATGGCTGAGACACGTGTTACGTATGCCCAACGACCGACTGCCTCGACGTGCGATGTTCAGTGGTATAGGAGTAGGTTGGAAGAAAGTTAGGGGCGGCCAGATCAAAACATGGCACAAGTCCATGAAGTCACTGACAAGTGGACTGAGTCATGTCGGTAGGTGTAGACTACCTGGTTGGGGACCGCGAGATGATAGCAACCGATGGTTAGAGACCCTGAATGACATGGCTCAAAATCGTTTGCAATGGCGCAGGTGCATACACTCTTTTTGTTCTCCTAAATTCTAATCTGGATCCTTCTTGTCTCTTTTTTTCTCTTCCTAAATTTATTTCACTGTATTATACTCTTTAAATAACATGTTTCCGATTACTGCTTATACTCTTACTACCTCTATTATTACGGAATTTGAGTCGACAACTCCATCTCTGTGCTAATGTGGTATGGCAACTCGAACTGATGTACGTACGTAAAAAGTTCTACGTGGTTACTGACTGACTGATATGCTTCAATGCTATGACGACTTCATCTTACTCGGTAAATAGAACGAAGGTCAAAGATACAGTGACACGATAGGTTATTCTAATCTGTTGTCCCTGGTCTTGCTAATTAGATCAATTATGTCGATGAAATTAAGTCTAGAATACCAGAACTAGAATGAAATATCTCATTACGAGAGATCAAGAAGTCTTGATGAGACGTAGAGAATGTATTCTAAAAACACCCAGAAAATACGAGGTCACTAAGCACACAAATCAAACTTATTTATGCAAAGATAGAAACGCCCTTGGGGAGAGCTACAAGATAGCGTACTAAAAAAATCCATTAACTAATGACAGTTAAGGATTTCTGAGTGGGAAATATGAGTTGTAGGTCAACTAAGCATCTCTTGGCGCGAAAACAAAAAAGGTGATCAAATCTTTTGAAATAATCATCTGATGAAGGTACTCTAATCTTAATAAAGTAAGGTTAGTTAGTCAGTCAGTAACAACGTAGAACTTTGTACGTACGTACATCAGTTCGGATAGCTATACTACATTAGCACACAGATACAATTGTCGATTCAAATCCCATAGTGGGAGAGATAGTAAGGTAGAATTATCTTTGTTCATTAAGTTAAGATGGAATCAATTTCCTTATTCTAGTATAAAGTTCATGAAAATCAACTAGAGTACATACTCGTAAGTATCATCAATTGATTGACAGAAATTTGATCTTGGATACTGTTATATGGTATGAAGAGGATTGTCACTCTCCAGGTACATACATCGCGGAAGGAAATTTTCTTCTTGAGGAAGCTGGGTTAGTGGTGGTTTTAGTGACCCGAGGATGTGACTGCAGGACAACTGCTTATAGTAGGCTTTTTTATGAAAAAATCTAGGTGTTACCTCCACACTTCGAAAGACCTCAGGAGAGGGAAATCAGTGGGATAGGGTGTGATATCACATTTTTAAGGTAGACCTTTCCTAACCCGTCGCTTTGGTTGTTGAAAGGAAACATCGCTCCAGATACTGAAACATCTTATTAGTGTCATATCTATATTGCAGTTGGGTGTACAACTTCGCCCCTGGACTTAGAGTTGCTGTTTTTAGTTTTGATGTTCTCCAGTCAACCTGTCTAGCATGCTAGGACATAAACAAATATGTGTTTCAGTCAATATAGCTCAGTTGAGTCATCACCAGACCACCATGTCAATGTTGCAGCTACGGTCGTGCAGCTGCTTGACAGGAATCAAAAGTTGCTATGATAGATTACCCTCTGACGTAATCAGAAACCTCGCCATAATACTTAGATCAGCTCGTAGGTTACACATGATGAATGGTATTTAGGAAATAGTTTATGTTCATACTTAAACAGTATACAGTGGATGAATTAAAACAACTGAATATTTAAAGAAAAACCATACAAAATCTGGCAGTCATAAACCTGTAGTACAACTTACCAGGTCAGCTAACGTTTTAGGTCGCTGATTATACTTACGCCGACTAGATGTTGAATTAATCGATTGCTTTTTCATCAATGGTAGATTTTCACGATTATCAGATCCTTTATACGTTATTGAGTTGTAACTATTTGTCACAGTTGTTGTCTTATTTCCAGTGGTACCCCAAGGGGTTGTACTATCAGAGTCACTAAATGTTTTATTCATATCTAAAACAGAATTGTTCACAGTAGAATCACTAATGGACACTGGATGAGTGAGTTTCGATGGAAGGATAGGGGGAATAAGTGTAGAATTACACATATTAGATGTTGTATTATGCAATTTCAAAAGTTCCTTCAAAATTTCCACAAAACTTGGTCTGTTACTTGGTTCACTTTGCCATGTACGTAACATTAAAGCATATACTGTAGATGGACAATCTTCGGGAGATTTCATTCTATATCCAGACTCAATATGACGTAATACTTGATTAGCCATCTAGCAAAAACAAAACAATCCCATACAACATAAATAGTTATAAATTCTCTGAAATATGTTTTTATTTGTCAATAGATTAATCATTACGAGAAACAAGTTATTTAAATTAAGCTACAAAAGTGTAGAGTAAGCGTTACAATCTGAACAACATTACAATACAGTAAAAAGAATCCGTTTTGTAGTTTGTGAGTTACAATTAACATTTCGTAATATATGAGATATCTAGTTGCTAGTTAATTAGAATCAACATAAAACCTGAAACAACTGTGCATCAGTCAATATTAATAAAACAACGGTTGAATTTAGAAATCAACACCGTTCGATGCTGGTTCAGTGATTTAGAGGTTAAGTGTTCACGCGTGAGACCGAAGGTCCCGGGTTCGAATCATACATGCTGGATCGTGAATGCACACTAATGGAGAGTTTCATACTAGGACGAAACGGTCGTCCTGTGCTTTCAGGTTTTCCACGGTGGTATAACTTAGATCGACTCATGAATTAAACTGTTGAAATACTACAATATTCTTATGTTAGCAAAAGATTTGAAATAATCGTACCATAAATGATAGTAAAACTTAGGTAGTATAACGGAACGATTGTTACAAAAGTTCGGACTGTCTCTTATCTGAAGTTATTTTGCTTATATTCTCGTTGTAGAACCATTAAATACTTAAATTATTGATATATATTCTCCTGCTTGTAACCTTTTTCGTTCTGCTTAAACTGTTGTTACATGTCATATTACGGACCTACTATTCAGTTATGTCATTATTGTAATTTCCTAATTATGCTGATATGTGGTCAGGATTTTACTCTCTATTATTATATGGGGTATTAGTCATTGGGTACAATAGAGAATTGATATGTCTTTTACTGTCATCTTCTGACTGACTATTGCGTTAAAAGGAGCTCGAGAATCAATCAACATTAAAATCTTAGTTGCTGTTCATTGGTCAATCAGTAAATTGGTAAATAGGTTAACGAATCTGTTGGTAATAAAGGTGAACTAATCGACAGTCAAACTGGAAAGAGGTCATACTATTGCTTTCCCAACAATACGGCTCTATCACATAGGACCCGAGAAAACAAGCTGTTGTTATTTTGTCCCGGCAAAAAATAAACATGATGGTGTTAACTAGGAATGTGAATGGCCGAATTCAGCGTCTGTGAGAGATTTTTTCAGGTGACAAATAAAGACCTGATAGTCACAGAAGACGAAGGTAAAATTCCCCAACCTTGTACACAAGGTAACCATCACACGATACAGTCATCACCAATGTTCTGTTTGGAGTCCCTCCTTTGCGACTCAAGCATAGACTCAAACCGATCACGTTTCATTCGGTTATCGGCAGTATTTTAATGGGCGAGACTGTCACTCTCTTAGGAGTAACTTTCCGGATTCCGACCATTTTCTCGTGTACACATAACTTACCTTTTGTTTCTGTGGTCAATGAATTTAACGTTTTAAAATGGATTCATATAAGCAAAGCTGGTATTCAGCCCATCTAAAAAAATATTACCGACTGTCAATCTTGTAAACAACACTTCCCTAAATAACGGCTCAAAGTACATATTATGCTTACAAACACTAAAGGTAACACAATAGCATTCTCCTTGAGAAAAGACGGTGCATTATTTTCAATAAAAGCGCAATTATTTGATTTTTCCCTGATAGGTAAGTACTCAAGTGATAGATTTGACAATGATTGACTAGTTATCAGAAAACACATAAATAAATCAATTATTTAAATAACTTACCATTCGTGGATATGGTATACGTCCATAAGAATAAATCTCCCATAATAATATGCCAAAACTCCAAACATCTGATTTTGTTGTAAACAACTGGATGTTTTTTTAAATTTAAGAAAAAACAAACCAATAAAAACTAGATTAATTATCAGTATGACAGTGTGTGAAATGACTGAATTTCATTGAATTCATGAACCGATCCAGGTCCTGAGTTCGAGTCCCGCGTGCGGGATCATTGGTGGAAACTGCTAAGAAAATCCATTCTAGGGCAAAATAGCTATCCAGTGCTTCTAGGTTTCTAATGATGGTTCCGTTTAGATTGGTCGATGACTCCAATGAAATTAGACAACTAAATTTTATCAGTAAAGATATTCAGTTGTTTTTTCAGGCTATGTACACACACACACATTTACGAAACACTGCATTCTTTCATTAAACAAATCTAGAGTATGCCAATTTTTATTTTTGAATAAGCTTGAACTGTGCTCTAACTATTAGCCCCAAATGTTCTGGTATGGCCGAGAGTGGGTGGGCCCACTCTCCCTCTTGAAATGCTCTCACATCACCACGCATATACAGCCACTGTCAGGGAAGTCCTACTCACTGTTCTTTATGGAAATGAGAGGACGAAAAGCCAATGTCCAGCGCTTTGACCGGATTCCAAACCAATGGTGCACATGGGCTCCAGTATCCTGAGGGAAAAAATGGAGTATGAACCAGTCGCTGGTCACCGGCTACCATGGGACTGCATCTCCTTACGATGCGCCATTGCCTTGTGGGTCAGACCTTGAGGTCAAAGGCTCGGGGTGTGGCCCCCTAAGAAAACAACCTGCTTCGGTTGGGCACCCGGGCAGTATCACAGCTCACACACAAATAAGATGAAAATGACGATATTTACTGAAAATTCTATTCACGCTTCGATTAACAGTCAAACAATTCAAATTGTTATTATTATTTACCACGTCACTTATTCACTCTCTTTTATTCCCACTTTGTGTATCCTTATTTTTCGACTTATACAGCAGCTCGCCTACGATGGAAACTCGGTTCTATCTAAACGTTCTCGAGTCACTGACTGGTTGAAAACTGAATGCTACCACCAAATACGAATACTGAAGCAGTTTTTTTCTGAAACCACGTGCACCACTCAAACTGGCTGCCTTCAACGTTCGCACACTTATGCAGGTCGGACAACAGATAGGGCTGGCTATGTTCTTGGAAAGTCTTAATATCGACGTTTATTGTCTATCCGAGACCCGTATTCAAGACTCTGGTGAAGTACTACAAATTCGCTCTCCATCTGTCGCTTCAAAACTTGTTTGACGTGCGTTGGCCATCAGCGTCCGTAGGTACGGTACGAGCTTTGCACCTTCGAATTGCAAAGTACTTCTACAAGACTGGCAGGATTCTAATCCTGTACGAACCCTGGATGGTGAGCAGATAGAAGTAGCCATAAGTTCGTGTATCTAGGTAGCTACATAAGTGCTGGTGGTGGCGTGAGTGATGAGATCAATGCACGTACAGTGAAAGCCAGAGCGACTTATGCCAATCTGAGACATCTTTGGCGCCTTCGTGATGTCAGTCTGGCTGTAAAAGGTTAGGTCTACAATGCGTCGGTGAGAAGTTTTGCTCTATGCTTGTGAAACCTGGCCTCTTTAAGTTGAGGATGTTAGACAATTATCTGTGTTCGATCATCGTTGTCTCCGAAGGATTGCTGACATCCAGTGGCAACACCATGTCAGCAATGCAGAGGTTCGGCATGTGTGTTTGGGCACAGAGACGACAATGCAATTGGTGTCACCATCTTGAAACATCGACTTCGGTGGCTTGGACATGTTCTACGAATGTCGTCCCAGAGAATTCCACGTCGTGCATTATTTGCCGACGCTGGGAGTGGTTAGAAAAAGCGGATAGGTGGTCAATGTATGACATGGTTTCGGGGTATGAAAGAAAGCTGCAAAGAGCTGACTTCTGTTGGTCCTTCACGACTCCCTGGCTGGGATCCGGGAGATGGTGCGACACAGTAGCTAGAGACGTTATCAGATACGGCTCAGAATAGAAGCCAGTGGCGATCTTGCTGTAACCTTCTTTTACTTTCTCTATAAAAAGTGGTTATATCTTCCTTAACGGAAAGATTTCTTCCGATTGTACCTTTTCGTTTCCCCCATTACTATTATTATTATTACTACACTGCCTTACACTAATCTGGTCGTTATTGTTCTTTTTTTCCTTTACGCTCCCTACCTTCTTTTTTCTCTCTTCCCATTCTCATTGTTTTGTGTGGCGCATATATATTTGGTGTCCCATTGTACCAATATTTATGTGCTCAAATAAATAAATAATAAGTTAGTCCTTACAGTAATTGTATGACTTAAAGCTGAGCATAATTGGATGATCATTGGGTAGTGGATTTTATCGATCAAGTCTAAGTGACTCGATATCGAAAGTGATTAGCGTACCCGATAGTTAGATTTTGGATGATATGGTTTAGAATCGTTTGCAGTGTTGTAAGTGTATTCACTCATTATCTTCCTATTAGAATTTGAGTCCCGAAATCGATTTATACCTTTTTTCTTTAATTTATTCTTACTACTACTGTTACTGTTACTATGTCTAGTACTCTGGGATTTTTCTTGAAATAATTTTATCTCACTGTGCTAACGTAATATGACAATTTGAACCGATATACAAGTGTCAGATTCTGTGTTGCACACGACTAACTGTATTGCATTGAAGTTGTAAGGTGATTAGAGGTAGCCAAAAAGAAACCCTGTTTGACCGAGGTTTCGTGTCAGTTTGAATACCTCCAGAAGTATCAGTTTTCCTTAGCATTAAAGATACGCCTTACTGACCAGTATCAACTAGCCTGGAGCATAGATCATCCAGAATTTCGCTTCAACTACTATTAAACACTAATTTAAACAGCTGTTTATCAATACAGCGAAATTTTATTGCCTATCCTGAAAAAGTGAAAATTCATATCTCATGACAGACTACCACCAATCAGCCAGAACAATAAATGTCAACTTTACCAGAAAAAAAACTACCTTAAGTACAAAATTAACGTGGAAATATGTTCTTACCCGATCGCGTACAGCTTCTGGAGCTGTCCATTTAAGAGGAATTGCTGCATTATCATGTAATACCATTGGATTTAAAGAGTTATGAGATGCATTATTATTATTATTATTATTATTATTATTATTATTATTATTATTACTAGCTGCCTCAAAAGATTGACGATGAGTTTCATGATCAGGCTTAGGATATTTTTCAATGGTATCACTTAATGGAGAATTAAGAATAACTAACGTTGGTGTATTATTATTCAATTTTGACACTTGATTTGATGTAGCACCAGGAACAATTGACAAATCATGTAAATCTCTAGCCATACCGAAATCGGCAACTTTAGCAATTAAATTAGGTATTTGTCCAGATAGTAGAACATTTCTAGCCGCTATATCTCGATGAATAAAATCACGTTCTTCAAGATAAACTAGCCCACGACAAACATCACTGAATAAAAAAAAACGAAAGGAGTCATCAAACCATAGAATTTTCATTTTTTTTTTAGATTTTAAACCACGTAAAATTTCATAAACTCAAATGTAAGTTTGGACAACATCGGCAGAAGTACCCTATTCTATGTTGTCATGGTTACTAGTACTGAAGTGGACAGAACATGGGTGGGGATAATCGAATGTATTTAACACAAAATTACAGGACTTGTTAAAAAAAATCTAACAATCATGAAGTAAATGCTTAATTTGCAAAATGTCCACCAATTGTCTCAAAATGACTCAGACTTCATTGTTCTTGCATTTCCATGCAAATCGCATTCTGTTTCTATCCTTTACTGTTCGATCCTCTTGTCTCTCTGCTGCCAACCTTTTATTCACGACTAACATCATATACTACTTACGTCAATATAAGTAGCACACACCACCGTAGCACCATACGTTTCTGATCAATAATTAGTTACCTTATTCATTGTCTAACAAATTCATGCAAGACGTCTAACTGCTTATCAGAGTAATCGTCCCACAAAATTGTTAAATTTTAATTGACATTATAAATATTTTTTGTGTTAATTTATGTGGAAATGAGACTAACTGTAAGTCTCCTGAGTTATTCCAATGAATAAAAAAATTTTCATGAAAGATTACTGACTATGTGCATCAACATACTCCATTTCTAGTTAATGGCTCCCAACTGCAGCTGTTACCTTGAAGTGATGATTAGGCACACATATCGAAATGATTCAACCGAACTGTATAGGTTAAATCACTCGTTCATTTGGGATCTATCATGCCGGGTCACATGGTTGGAGGGCGGTATGATTAAGACAACAAACTCATGGTTAGGGCATGAAGTCGTACATCCGAGTGCAATAAGGATGTGACAACAGTAACATGTTTCACTCAAACAACCAGCACCTGCAGTGATAATGCTTTCCCACAACGGAGAGAGATGATTAGAAAAGATCGGAACTCTCATGGATTTCTGTTACCTATGATAAGGCTTTAAAAGTACGAGGTTAATTATTCTACAACTACCCACAAAGAAAACTGTGTCTGATTAGTATCGCGTATTTGTCGTTCGGGCATGATGGTCACGCTTTTAAATCATCAAGACTGCACATAACCCAGTTCTAGCCAAAGCATTGAGGCATATTTCCGTTTTTATTTATTTTATTTTAAACAACATGTGAATTGAAAATTCTCAACCACTTTAGCATTCTTCATCAAAAACATTGAAAATGATATACCTTCAAATATAACGTACAAGAGAGAAAATTCATCTCTTAATTCGTATATCAAATGAAGATGATTTTTGTTCAGTATTCCAGTTGTATTTAGTTATTTGGTTCTTAATGCTTTTTTTTCTAGTGTAATCATTATTTTGCGATCATTTTACAGTTAATAAAACTCTGTAATTAACAATCATTGAATTGATGCAAAACATAACTAGATTGGATATAAAACCAATCTTCTTTGATCTTGTGCAATAAATCATCTCAACAAAGATTAGTTTTTCAGAATAGTTGGAGAGGAGACCTAGAAGTGACTACAACTGTTTGCATATGGTATTACAGTTGTCGTTACCGTTTCTTTGCATATACGGAATCCGTTAAAAAAAAATAACTAGAAAGGGAGAAAGTAAATCATCAACTCCTATTTACCATGTCCAGAGATGTTGGTACATGGTTTGGAACCGTACCATCAATGTGACGGCCAGTGTTAGTATCCCAATTTCATAAACCGATGTAATTAAATCACGATTCGGACCTGCAACTTAATGGCTGAAATTCGACCGCCATACACACTAAGCTGGTCGTTCCACACACACACACACACAACTGGAACCACCAATCATACACAAAACAATGGTGTTCATAGATTCAGTCAAAGAAATGAATACATTTTGATTTGATTTTAAAACAATAACAATAATAATAATTATAACTTACATACTAAATTTCAACTTGGTCAATTCTGTAATTTCATCACGTGTACGAGAGTGTAAATAAGTGAGTAAACTACCATTAGCTAAATATTCTGTAATTAAATATACTGCATCATCTGGTTCATATACTAAACCAATAAATGATACTAAATTAGGATGATTTAATTTTCTATTCCATATGTTGTATTCAATATTGTCATTATTTAAGATATTTTTGATAGAAGGGAAAACAAAAGGGGAAAAAAGAAAAGAAAAAAAAGAATATCTAAGTTGAAGTGACTTTCTTCTTAAATATTCAACAAAATGACTTGATATTAGTAGGGGTTTTTTGGATATTATAGTAATTTTAATAGTGTTAAGATCATGAGGCAATTAAAGCTAGAGCACCATGGAAAACCTGAAAGCATTGGACGGCCATTTCATCAATGATCTAGAGGTTAAGCGTTCGCGTGCGAGACTGACAGGTCCCAGGTTCGAATCTTGCGAGGCAGGATCGCGGATGCGCACTGCTAAGGAGTCCCGCAATCGGACGAAACGGCCGTCCAGTGCTTTCAAATTTTTCATGGTGGTCTAGCTTCAATTGACTCATGATTTCAACCATTAAAATAACTTAATATGTTTAAATTAATCATAAGCGAATTTATGATGAAATGTGAATCTGTCTATGAACCGGTTTATTAACTCCTGTAAAGTAAGGTACACAGATCCTAGGTATTTGCCTTCAACTTGAATTATGAGAACATATTCCAATGGAGTTTTACGAAAAAGTGAGAGAAAACCTATTAGGAATTCTATCCTTGAATAATGAATCAGTTCTAATCACTTCACTGATCCATTGGTTGGTTTTAAGGTTGTTTATATGATTTATCCCAGATTTCTTCATATCCAGCTCCTTAAACCAGAAGAAGCTCTTGTCTATCCATGAAATGAAGCCTGAATTGTGTGCACAACAGAAATACGCCTTATCGACATCCTTACAAAGACCTTAAACCATTATTATTATCATTTTAATTTGTAATGATTTAGATTGTCCCATTGTTGATAATTTGACTGAATTTAGATCAGTCCTAGTAGGAATATGTGTAGATTGCCTCGGTATAGCCATTATAATACAAGTTTATATAGAATAGATCACATTTAGCTAGCATGGAATTTAAGATGAACGTTTCGTCCTATTTAGCGCTTATCAACAGGATTCGAACTCAGTACCTTTCAATTTAAACATTAACCGGTTTTACCGATTTCTTAATTTGGAAATATTTCTTCATTATTATTTCACATATCCTTATGATTTTTTTTTCCATAAGTGGTTGGTTCTGACATTATATCGTTACATTTTATTTCTCTAATATTGTTAATTATGAAAAAAGCAAGAACAAACATTCTAGCAGAATAGCATGAATTCATTTTTATTTCGTTGGTTCTTGTCAGGCTGCTTACAACCTGTGATTATCACGATTAAAGCATCTTAATTATCGTCCTAACAGAATTCGCTAGAATAATGTTTAAATGAGAACTATAAATCTATTGAAATGAAAAGAAAGTAGAATTTCATTGAAATCATGAACTGATCTAAGTTAGGCCACCATTGAAAACTTGGAAGCATTGGATGACTGTTTTGTCCTATTATGGAATTCCTTAACAGTGCACATTCACGATACCACACGCAAAAATCGAATCCAGCCACTCTGCTTATATTATACTATAATACCGATTGGGTACATTTCAGAATGAAAGATAGAATGCATGTTCTATTCACCAGAGTGCAATAACTGTTCTGGACTTCTACCTTTTTAGTCTTGTGTTTTGCCCACTGACCATTTATGAACCGTGTAACAGGGATTATTTATTCTTTTTTTAGTTAGGAGGGTTTCTTTGCATTCTTTGGAAGGATGTTCATTTTCACTGTTGCTTAGTTCTCATGAAAGTCTCTTTATATTGAAGTCGGGCGTTGAAATTGTCACTATTGGAAACCTAGAATCACCGGACGGTTGTTTCATCTGAGTATGAGACTCCTCAGCAGTGCGCATACACGACCCCATGTCCAGGAGTGGAACTCAAGACATAACATCTGACGGACATTGTCCTGATATCAAACTTTAAACAATTTCGATAGACTTTTCATGGATGAAAAACGTTTGTTTAACGTTGAAACAGAGAACAGATTCTCCATATACTTTTAATACATGTAGACATAAACCTCTCATACAAAACCTTGAATCAGATTTGAGACATTATTGACCATTCAAAAGCACTTGGGATGAAGATGACAAATCACAGTAAGTAATACTAAATGACGACAATACCCATAATTATAATGACGTGGAAGAATAGACTTACGTCATAAGTGATGCTTCATAGGTTATAGCCAATTTAGAAGCAGTCTTTTTATAAATTTTCACCGCTACTTGTCGACCATGATAAGTAGCTTTAAGAACTTCTGCAATTGTAACGAAAGAAATGAAAATAAAACTTGTGAACAGACTATTTAAAATAATCCTAAAATGTCACACCTCAACAGTACACATACAAACACAGATGGATAAAAAGTAAAATTAGAAGAAAATTCAGTTCGCTATCGGCACCGATTAAACCAGTAGTTTCTCGGCTGCTGATTCGATATCGTACCCGAGTGGTTGGCAAATATCAGCTCTAATCGTAACTTAATTCCAAGCTTGATTATCCAACGGATGAAGGATATATATAGGTCCGGATTGATAACAATCTTGAGATAATTGAATTGGTTGAGCCACATGCCAATCTGGGTCATCGTTGGCGCCTTCGTGATGTTAGTCTGGTTTTAAAATGTCGGTTCATAACTCGTCAGTGAGAGAAGTGTCACCCTATGCTTATTAGATCTTGCCTCTCCGAGTTGCGAATGTTAGGTAAACCTCTGCGTTTGATTGTCATCACTAAAGGATTGGTGACATTTAATGCCAACACCATATTAATAATACAGAGGTTTGGCAACGTTTGTTCGGGTACACTGATAATAATTCTAGTATTGTCACCATCTTCAAACACCGACTTCAGTGACCTGGACATGTACAACTAATGTCGTCTCGGGAAATTCCATATCGTGAATAAGCGGATAGGTGGCCAGTTTATGACATACCGCCGGGGTATGAAGGAAAGCTATATATGACTGGTATTTTTCTGTCCTCTATGATTCCCTGGTTGAGGTCCTAGTGATAGTGCAACTCGGAGGCTTTAGAAGTTACTAGACATGGCCCAAAATAGAAGCCAAGATGGTGATCCCGTTGCAATTTTCTTTAACTTTCTTCTTAAAAGTAGGAACAGCTTCTTTAACTGAAGAAATTCTTCCTAGTTGTATCTTCATCAACTGAACTGCTTCTCTTACTATTTACTAACTTCATTCATTTTGTTGTTTATTTTGATCCCTTTTTTGTACTAATACTTATGTATTTAAATAAATACACAGGGATGGCAAATAATATACCCATTATTAATAAACTCCAAACAATGACAAAGACCACTTGCAAGGTAGTATTTCGCAACTGAGCACAACAATGGTGGACACGATATGATGTACTACTACTACTACTCAACTCGGATAACGATTCGATAATACGCTTTATGGGCAAGTCATAAAACTTACCCAACCAAGTTGAAACGTGTGATTAGATTAATGGATTTAGACACAGAATATACTTACCACCGAATTCTCCACGCCCAATACGATCACTTAATGCAATTTCTTTGCGAAAAATGAGATAACCAAGTTTCTGTAGTTCACTTAATCGTTTTCTTTGCATATCTGGGACTGGATGAAGAAGTGCACAAACTAATCCGCGTTTGGGTTCCGAATAAAACTGATTGGGTGGTGGAATGGGACAAAAGATAAAACGAACAGTTGAACACAGATTGTATGAAATTGTGATGCAACGGCTTAAGGACTCAGATTGAAATTAATTGATGAATTTTATTTGTATTCTCCTATTGTTGACGACAAGATCTATAATTGATCAGTCTCTATTGGTATATTTTTATATTCAGCTGATAACGTGTAGACTTTTCAAATGAAAGGTCAGCTACAACATACGACCAGGTACATATATGCATCAGTCCAAGTCGTCATACTTCATTAGTACAAGATCCACACAAAATTCATAGAAGCAGTTACTTCAATGGCAGTAAAAAAAGCATTTCACATAAGGATATGATATAGGGAGGAAGAATTAGTCTGTAGAAAGGTATAAAGTAATTTTAATCTCACGGTTAATAAAAGATAAAGTGTGTACACACCAACGCCATTGTGCCGACTTTGAGCCATGTTACCTAGAATCTCCAACCATTGGTTACTACAGTCACGCGGACCCCAACCAAGTAGTCTACATCTACCAACATGGCTTACACCAGAAGTCAATGACTTTATGGACCGATGACACGTTTTGGTTTGGCCACCCGTTTCTAAGTTCTACGTTGCAACCGAATGACATATACCAATGTGGTTGAAACTAGCAATCAATGACTTCGTAGATTGACGATACGTCTTCAGCTCCCTGTTCCTAACCTTTTTCCCAACCTACTCCTACATCAGATACCACTGCTAATGAGGATAGGCGGAGGTTACGCAAGTATAACACATTTGACACTTCCCACTTATCCACATTGTGTAAAAGATACGAAAAAGAAGGTGATTAGCTATAACAGTCTAGTCATCTAGGTAACGTGACCACGCAAACTAAGGAGAAATCGTATGCGACCAATCACGGATCGCCTTTATTTAGTGGTTTTAATTATGCTGCACCCATAATTTTTAAACCTTACAGCCGTAGATTTCCGTGTTACCACATCATACTCGAAGAGATAACTTTTGCTTTATCATAAGGTTATACATATTATTCTTAAGGTTCAAAGAATATCAGGACGTAAGTAATGATCAATGAATAATCCTTTAGATTTCAGGAAATTTGGAAAAAAGACTGTTTATAAGCCTGAAATACTTTTTTCTGAATGATTTCAAGTATATACATATAATATTCTGACGGATGATTTCGGTCTTCAAATCAGTTTGTTATATTTGTCATTTCAATAAACAAACAGACCGTTTCCACTTTGAAGCAAAATGTTTAAGATTTCACAAGAATATAACATCTGACATTTCAAATAATTACGTATATCATGTGCCAGATTCAGTCTGTAATGTATCACACGAACAAGAGATACGAGAAATATGCGATTGTAAAACGAATAAAACCATATTTCTAGTATGGGGGTTGTGGAGATTATTACGTTTTTGATTGAGATCATGAACCGATTGATGTTAGACCACCACCTTTGGAAACCTGGAAGCACTGGACGGCCGTTTCGTCCTATTGTGGGACTCCTCAGCAGTGCGCATGATCTCAATCAAAAACGTAATAATCTCCACAACCCCCATACTAGTAATCAACATATGCTCACTAGTGACTAGCTTCGTGAGGGAATTCTCGGAGTTCTAGTGAGAAGCCGTGATCAGTGGAGCTAATCCATGTCGGGTAGAGACAGGTATCTACCTCAGTACAATGGAAGTTGGTCGCGCAATTTCGTGGATTGGTTGATGTTAGACACTATCACCATTGGATGCCGGCTCAGTGGTCCAGTTGGTTAAGCGTTCGTGCGCGAGACCGAAGGCCATGGGTTCGAATCCCGCGAGCGGGATCGTAGTTTCGCACTGCTGAGGAGTCCCACAATAGGACGAAACGGCCGTCCAGTGCTTCCAGGTTTCCAAAGGTGGTGGTCTAACATCAATCGGCTCATGATCTCAATCAAAAACCATATTTCTTAAGGAAATATAAACATTAAAACATTCATTTGATACCACAAATCTGTACGCCCAAACTAACGGAAATAATTACTATTTATGTACTAAAAAAACTTATTTTATGAGACTGAATCACTTAACACTAATGACCATCGTAAAAAAATCATAGCTGAAGTAATGTTCCATGTACATTGTGTAACACAACTACTAGGCTACACAAAACTATGACCCAAAATAACTCACCTGAACCAGTTCTAAAAGGCTTGGAAACCAATCAGTTTCGTCTAATGTGTAGTGGATTTTGCTGCAAGTTGGGAGTGTTGAATATTCGGAATGTTGGTTAGGAGGGGTAGCTTTAAAAGGCCTACGGACTATGCGATAGTGCTGTACATTAGTCGTAGTATTTGGAGGTGTCGCTGTTGGATTTTGCTGTTCAGCAGCATCTGGGCTTCCGACTTCACATGAAGGTCCAACAACACATAATGTTAAACCACCACTGTACAAATCGGATTCACGTATTAGAAAACTTCCGATAGGACTACCAGAAAGTAAACTCTCTGATTCGGCACGAGAAATCCGTCCATGATACCAACTAAACAAAGAAGAAATCGGTGTTTAGCATAATTTACAAAGGATTATACTTAAAATGCCTAACCAACAGACATTAAGTCAGGCTAAGTACCAATGTACCTTATTTGAAATTATATCATTCAAGGCCTTCGGTTAGTAGTTTAACTGCCGAACCATAATCCTATCCGGAGAACGTATAGTTTAGTACAAGATTTAAGATGATGGGACTAATGTCGCCTTAAATATATGTCGGGTTCACCAAACCGCGACGTAGGTTATGACACGGAACGAGTAGCATATGTCATTAACTGACGCCCCCGAATGCCCTTGTACGGCCGAGAGTGGGGTGAGTCCGCTCTCCCTCTCGAAATACTCTCACACGGCCGCGCGTATACAGCCTCTGCCAGGGAAGTCCTTCTCATTGCCTTCTCGTGGCGGGGGTGTTGTTTACGAAAATGAGAGGACGAAAAGCGAATGTCCGGCGCTTTAACCGGATCACAAACCAATGGTGCACATGGGCTCCAGTATCCTGCGGGAACAAATGGCGTATGAACCAATCTTTGGTCACCGGCTACCATGGGATTGCATCTCCTTACGATGCTCCACTGCCTTGTGGGTTAGACCTTTAGGTCAAAGGCTCGGGGAGTGGCCCCCTAAGAAAACCACCTGCTTCGGTTTGGGCACCCGGGCAGTATCACAGCCCACACACAAACGATGAACTCTATGTCTTTGGCAACTACTTTTTATCGCTCCGAAAAACAATCAGTCGATTCATTAACTGACATAGTTGATCCATGGTTAAAAATCACTCGAGCCCTCACTTAGATCTAAAGTGTGTTAGGTATGAAAGAGACCTAATACATTTGGAATTTTTTCTGTGTATCAGAAGACACGGTTATAAGTGAGCTTTATTAAACATAATTACTACCTACATACTTTAGTTTGAGATTTGTATGAAAGAAAAAGTTTATCGTAAATAATTATGCATTTTATCCTGACATTTCAATACAATATATTCACGTGTCCACAGTTTTTTCCACCCTTCATGCGCTACTTCATTCATAGCTACTACAGTACTACTGGACGAATCTAAGACTTCTGCTATGTTAAATAGGAACAATACTATTATTCATCTCATTTAGGTCGATCAGATAATTGCCAAGCAGAAGAGCACTAATACCTGAGGATTCAGGAAGAGTTTAATTTGCCACCATCAGGAAATTTACAACAAAGCAGGTTAAAAATTAAAGTTGAAGAAAGCTAATGTACACATACCAACCTACGCGGTCCCAGTAAGCGATAGATTGCTGTAGGATCTTACTTTAGATGACATATCTCAAAATTAGTAGATGTGGAGAAGATGCATCTACCTTTTATTTTCTCATGATATGGAGTTTCAAAACTATTTGTATCCAGCGAATTTACTCTTTTTTCTCAAATTATATGTTTCATAGTCTTTTTGGCTTGACTGTTACTACTACGCCTACCAATAATTCACTAATTTTGCCAATTTTATCTTGCTGTGATGTAGTGTGGCAATTTAGACAGTGGCTCATTTGCACCGAATCCTTACGTTCTTTATAACTAACTAACTGACTAAGAGTTCTGTATGTTTGAGTAGGGTTGAAAGTAATTCGTAACACTATCCAAAAACTCACTCAAGTAAAAGAATCATGAAATCTTTACATAGACATATTCAAGTATTATTAATGCTAAATATATCCTATCCCTGAATCAAATAGAAGGCACATTGCTCCTTTTCCTATTGACACGTTTCAAATCAGACATCAAGGCGATTACAAATCCTAGTGATGAGAGAACTTCGATTTTTACGGTTTTTCGTCGAACGTTGCACAAGAATATTTATCCTTAACAATGAGCTGAGATTAGTAATTGAAACTAGTCAAAGAATATACTAAACATCTACAAACAAACCAATACTTTAATGGTTTTGAAGGGAAAAACCATCTTAAGATCAGAACTCGTTGTGCCTCTTGACTTTACGTTAACCAGTTTTTCGACCGTGACAAAACTTGAGTGATAAGCTGCAATACTCGATTAGTGGTTATCATGGAAGAAATATCGAAATTAGAAAACTAGCTATCTAGAAAAAATGATGTGACAGTTTCTGCAGAAATATGAGATTGCTAATCTGATGAAACGACTAACGGCTGTAAAAAGGTGTCAAGGTTTTCAACGGTGAGAGATCCAGATACATCAATTTTCACACGCTGAAACCGTCTATTAGACAAGTGAAACTGACCTTATGAGAATACTATGTACCAGTGAAACTTTATCTGTTGATAATGTATACAAGCGCGTCTCCACCTTTCTAATGTCAGTATTCATTTCGGACCATAAAACGCGATTACATCTAAGCCTCATTTTTGCGCATCAACGGATTTAATAGGAAGTAAACGTCAAGAAAGAGGTTTTTCCTGCAACGTTTATGAAAGAATAAATAGTTGTTGCCGGTTAAAACACAACGCGATAGTGGAATCATAAAATGGAATAAGAATGCTTCTAAGAACCGAGCTAGATTTAATTGCTAACGATCGAATCCGAATTATCTAATTGGAACCTAGACCTGTTGTCAGGGTCAATATCTGTCTGATGTGGGATACCATCGATTTCGTCTCTTGATAGCACAACTGCAACCACACTTCCACTACCTTCGAAGAGTCCTATGCCTGGAGTAAACTGTGATAATTAGAATGTTTAGACTCTTATAAAGTATTATATGAGTAGCAAGGTAGCTTACGGTCGGTGTGAATGACAAGCTCTCTCTCTCTCTTGTGTTTAATTACGGAATGAGTAGCGAGGAACTAACCAAACGCGCAATATCTGATCTGTATCAAGTCTAATAGCTTTAAGAAGGATAACGACGGAATGCCGCTATTTGCGTATTCTTGTAGAACTGCTCTGATTGCAGTTTGGTGCATTAGTATAGAAAATCATGTATGAATGGATGGGAATTGATCTACCTATCCAGTCCGAACAAGGACCAAAAATAATCACACCAACTTCGGACGATACCTAGTGATGAAATCGGAAAACCGAGAGCTTAACCCCAAGATGAGTGCGAGTTTCTGGTAGCTTAGGTCCTAATTTATGGTACCTGTGCAAGAAACTTATACAATTACTACCATTCTGACAGCATTTAGAAAAGAGCATTACCCTAAACACTTGAGACAAAAATGCACCGTATTTTGGCGACGATAGACAGCCCACTTAATATGGGCGTATCTAACACCATGTACCGACAAAATGAGGAGAATACCACCATGTTACAACGACAACATACATATGAAATTTAGCACTTAAAAAGTACGTTTTCACGACTTCAAGAAACACGAAAATGTCAACGATATACTACATCACTACTCTTATTTACTAAAAATATAACCATTGGTTAGTTTGGTTTAAAACACAGGTATTTTAGTTACCAGTGATCTTTGAGATTTTCTAAAACATCCGCCTTCCGCTGGACGTAATTTAGAGGAATCAGTCCAGTCTCCCCAAAAGCATTCTTCGCGTGGGCCCAATTCGGATCCTTGATAAACAGATCGACACTTGTACTTTAAAAATTTAAGCTCACTTTGCCAATATTAATGATCTCTAGTGTTTCATTTTTACTAAATGGTAAATCCTCATTTTTGTCTTTCTTGAATGTATAATTGGCTTTCACGACATCCCCAGGCTTGAACCTGCATTCCATCATACGTTCATAGGTCATAATTTATGGGCACATCGTTGAAACCTGCATCTTATTTCTTGTATACATTGCGTCCAAAAGGAATGCACCGCATACATTTGAACGAATGCGGAGATGTAAATCGAAAATTCAATTAAAAATCTCATTTCGATCAGCTAAATTAAAATAACTGATTCTTTACCCTCTTCCTTTTGCTTCGCAACACCTTATTAACAAAATGTAAGATGCAATTTTTCTGTGATCTAAGTTTTACCGAACTCTAAAATCTAATTTAATAAGAAAAAAGGTTCTTTAAATTCCCCTGGAAGTTGAAGAGTCGTGGCATAAATATATCTGACTACCGCGAACTTCACATAAACTTCCGTTTTATTACAAAGTCTCAGCATAACGAGTAGAAGCTTGGTTCTTCTCAGTGGTGTATTCGCAGCTCGAAGTAATGATATAGTTACCGAAGTTAAGAGATTAAACAGAAGCAACAGCCGACAACCTAAAATTACGATAAAAGTACTTGTAAGTGAATTCGGAGCTGTTATCCCTTGTAATTTATGCATACACCATGTTTCACTTCTCTGATTGATGAAGAATTTTTGTGTTTACCTCAGGCCAACCGGCTACACTTGTTCCCCACAGTTGTGTGATAAATGTTTTAACTACATAATCGCGGCTTTTTCTGGTCTTACAGCTTAATCTGGGAAACAGGTTTGATGAAATCGCTTTAACATGATAAACGACTGGAGGTTAATTGTACTCCATAACCAAACTCTTCGATGAGATGGTCTTCCGAATGTCCGCTAGACATCCATAGTTCTGTTGTAGTCGTTGAGGTCCAACAGAGGCTTCCAACCCACCTTTCGGAAAGAAGTTTCGCAAAATGTTGGCCAAGTATGTCATTAGTAGATACTGTCTCAGATCAGTGACTCACGCACGTTAAGAGTTAAAGCAGTCTGTTTGCTTTAAGTATACATTCTTATCAGACGGAGATGAACGTTGTCAAAGCGTTCACTAGTTTTAAAAAACCTAAAATACCCTCTTTCTGTATACCTAACTTTACGGTTGACAATCTAAACCAGACCATGACTACCTTATAAATTTATCCATACCAGCCGAGTGAAAATGAGCTTGATCGTTGCTCAAACACCTAGATGGAGGTATTTGTGTTACGTATTTAAAGCGTTTATAAGAGTGGCTGTGGCACTATATCTACCTATGGGAAAGTCTTATAGTTTATCGAAATTTAAGGTGACTTCAATAGGGCTTGATAATGTCCACACTTTATAGACGAAAATTATTTTATCAAAGCGACTTGAATCATTCTAAATTTGCAATACTCAGATTTAACTGAAGTACTGCTCATAGTTCAAGGTACATATCATGAGCTTGACCCAAGAAGCGGATCAAGCCCTGTAACGATTGGATAATGTCCGATAACTGTCAGACAGGTAGTATTTGAAGAGCCCCTCGACCAGGAGCCTTGGAAGACATTCATTTGAGAAAACAATATAATTATTCCGAGGGACACCAGAAATTTCGAACTTCAAGGACTCATTTCATAACATCCCATAGGGAATGTTTATAAGCATTTCTTGAAACTTAAGCACATTTTGACTCCTAAATAACCCTAGTGATCTAGATAAATATGGAAAGTAAACATTCATCAGTTACAGTCAATTTATCTCCTGTTTAACTATGTACATTACTCATGTTCACCCCGTCTGTGTGACGCCGGATGTAAGAAGCCAAATACGGATTGCGTTGGCAGAATTTATTTCAGACAATCGTTTATCCAATCGGACATTCACAATAAGAAGCGGGAAAGCGAATCCAAGCAGAGAAAGCGAGTGAGCCAACTCAATTAGATTAAACGTGTTTCACTATATAAAGTCAGGTAAAAATAAGCTGCAAACATGTGATGAGCAGGATAGGTGATTCACACATACACATGTAACAATAGTCAATTCTAGTGAACGAATAATCAACAAGGTCAAAATGTGGCTCGAAAAGAATGAACAAATCAGCCTGTTCGGATACTAGAATAACTCATATGGGCTTGACATGGTACTAGACACCACTAATTCCCCCGTTAGAAACAGCACATTACTTTAAAGGTCGTCTGCTTTCGAAAATAACACTAAATAGGTGTGGGGCTAACGTTGACAATATTTAGCATAAGATTCGTACTATATCTGATAGAGTAGTGTCACGTGAAGGGTGAGTGTATAATATGAAAGTATAATACTGGTGTGAACAAAGTATATGAATACCATAAAGGGAAATGTTGGCATGTGACTGTAGGCATATTAATAAGCGTGATGATTGACTTGACATTTACATGCCGAAAAGTTTATGTGGGACGGGAATTATCAAACCGTAAAATGATAACCGATTTGACGGATGATATTCATTCCTGCCTCATAATTGACATTAATCACAAAGTGCGAAGACAGTGTATCTTGTCCTATGCGTCATAATCAGATGCATCGAGTTGTCGATAAATATCTATCAGTAGAATGATCGAAGGAACATACTCAAGACTGTAGAGACAAGATACACGAATGAGTAGTAATCCTTTTCGTTCGTGGAGTCTAGTGAGGTCTATGTCGTTTCAGGGATACGCACTCGACCCCGCTTGTTACGAAACGGTACTAAGGCATGATTTATATACTCAAAGACAACTTGGTCCAGTCACCCCTGATTTGTTTCTATCACTATTTAAAATGTGTGTATGGCCCCATCTAGAAGTCCAAAATATTGTTCCTCCTCTCCGCTCTAAGATGAGCAACAACAATTAAATACAGACGGGAAACCGAGTGTGCGATATAGCTAAAACATCAGCTGTACAAGAACAGGCTCTAACACCTGGGATTTACAGGAGAATAAGAAATGTTCCGATAACGGAATACAACACAATAAGTATGCCAAACCACCCTAACACGAGCATGTGACCACAAAATCACCAACACTCAGATGATTCTTCTTGAAAGAGCGGAAGCCCAGGTACGCTTGTAGAATTATGGTCTACTACGATATTAGTACTGCTCTAGTAGTAGACCTAATCCTATAATTGGAGATTTGTCATGATATAATTACTTTACCCATAAGATCTTACGTGGAAGTCACATCATCGTCTACACCCACTTCCTACATTGTAGCAATCACCAATATATAATAGAGAACAAACTTAGGCTAGAGGCAAAACAATACATTTAATATGAATAAAAGACATAAGGTAACATTCAGCAGGGACCACGTTTGCATGGCCGAGCCATCCCATACGATCAACCCCAATTAATTCAATTCCTTGTTCCCGCCATTTCCATCGTTAGGTATCTCTCCGCATTAAATATTGAATATCTATTTTCCGAGTAGTCTCATGTTCAGCACTGAGGATTGTGTGGTTATGACCCAATGCCACTATACGCTCTCATTTTTTATCACTAAGGGTTGACCTCATTTGCAACTCATTCACAGCTGAAGTGACCAAAGCCCCATTAGCAGTTAGCCGGAAGTAGAGACCATCTCCCTCGTGAACCAACTGTGTCTGGTGCACATCTCGTCAATTATCACGGTTATCATTACCGCACATCAGTAACTACTTCCTATCTCTCTTATCATCATCTCTCTTGCCCCTCGTATTCTTTCACCTCGAACTTCCTACGCATCATCAGGCCAGTAAATTAATTATTTATTCTTAAAATAGTCATTTTCTAGTAGCAATCAAAGTATTACTTTATTATCTTCACATTGTGACAAAACACCCTCCTACCGGGTAATGTAATAGCTGCTGGTATCCAGGATCCCTACTGTATTCAGAACGCACTTTTTCACACTATAAATATCCAAATCAAATGGTTAGACTTTTACCTATTGGACATCACCGGATACCTGAAACTGTACCAAAATAACGAGAATTCAGCGCGAAAAAAATCACTTGGTCTATACAAACTTGTGAATGTGCACTACATCGAGGAACTAAAAGTTGCCAATTTATAGCTTTTTAGGTATGCGTTAGCATTTCATGCCTGTATCTGACCTCGGTTAAGTGTTCATGTATCATATTTGCTTTCCTCACAAACTATTGGAACATCAAACCGATAGAACAATAAGTCGAGAGCCAAAATACGAAATGTGATAAATAAGAGTTTATGAGCAACCTATCCTATAAGCGAAAAATAGGCTGATACAACTTTAACTTGTCTATGGGAGGACCTATGTCGATATCTAAGATAATAATCGTGCTAAGAAGATCAAACCTATTTCACAGGCTAAAAAATATCCACCTCATTGTCTTAACGGACTTTTGCTCTCATAAAAATCCAACTACGTACTATCCTCAGTCTGTATTCTCACTAATGTTGTCAATTGACCTAATCTATAAGATCTTACATGGAAGTCACTGACTCGCCCTATCGGGTTAATCAGCAGTATGATGATGAGCACTTCTGAGAAGTACATCTTGCCTGTGGATACAATAATATGTTTGATGTTAAAATGATTACGTTTCGTAGTGGACATGTCTGAAAGACTGAGCCATGCTAATTCGATGCTGTGTTGCCACGTTCACTATTTACTTGTAACATGGAACTAGTATTGACAGTGTATCTCAACAAGGTGTGCAACATGGAGCTTAAGTTAAAACATTTATACGTACCGCAAAGGAAAAAGAGTCTAATATCACAAAACAAGAGGGGTTGGCGTTACTGATCAGCAAACATGATGCTGGGAAGATAACCTTATTCCATCAATGTCTGCATAACAGGACATTTCGTTAACTTACGGCTACTTATGGTCTAGAGGGGTGTATTGATGCTAATTTCTTATAATAAACACCTCCTTGACTCATTTTGTGACCCCGAATTGGTTTCACTTTCTACCGAGAAATCTTGGTGCGAAAAAAACTGGACAATTACGCTAAACATGAGTGGAATCATGACTATACAAAAGTTATAGCAATAAAAACGAGTTATAATAAATATGACGAAAAAAGCCAGTTTGTATGAGAACACTACTAAATTTCAAGAATACACATAATTCTAAACTTTCAAACCTTTTAAAACCCTTCCATTTGTACATTATTTTATTTATTCAGCGCCATACTGTAGCTTTTTTTCTTTAATCTAATGAAATATACTTGTTTAGAAATTGACCTAATAAAAGAGAATAAGTCTTAGTAGTCATACTTTAATTATCTTATCACAAATGACCAAGCTTCACTGGTCATGAACATTGTCCGTCCTGCTTCTTACCTTTTTCTTCTCTTTCTTTCTCGGAACACTCAAGGTATACCACCGAAACATTTTTTGGACATACGACATCGTACTGTGCCATCACTTATGACTCTGGAATTTATCTGGGATCACGATCGTGATGCACAAACTGATACGTTTAAGTTGACGTTTACGTCTGACTACACTCGACTTTATTTCCATTCATTCTCGAACACCGATTGTTTGTCGCAACTTAATCCGCACAAAGCACACCAACTTCCATAGTAGACATTGAGTCACACCAAAATTAATATTCGTACGTATGAAAAGTTATCCTCTGTTTATGTTATCCAATAGCCTATGTTATATCAACATAATTGAGCAACCGAATAAAGCACTTGTAAAATCTTGATCTCACCTGTAAACTGACATGCCTCAAATAACATATTGTTATTTGAGAATTTATTATCACTTACCTTCTCTTAGTGTTACATGTTGAATGCGAATTTTCTCAGTTATCTTACGTTCCGCTCCTAAAATCGTGTGCCCAGAATCAATAACACTACAATAATAAAAGAATTATTAATTATTTCGACGAAAAGCAAGCAATCTGTGTGCCGAAACGTCTCGATTTCCTCAATAAATCTTAAAACTAGACATAGTCCTGAACATTCGGCCCTTTCGAGTCACCTCCATATATGCAATCCTTTGTTTGTTCAACGCAGTGCTTTGGCTTTTTACTTTAACTTGTTGAAATGTTGCTTACTTACTTACTCACGCCCGTTATCCCTTGTAGAGGAGAATAGGCCGCTCACCAGCATTCGCCATCCAATTCTGTCCTCAACAATTCTTTCCAGCCCTTTCCAGTTTTTATTCATCCTTTTCATATCCGCTTCTATTTCCCGACGTAATGTGTCCTTCGGCCTTCCTCTTTTACTCTTCCCTCCAGGATTTCAAGTTAGGGCTTGATGATTTGTGTGATGTCCTATCCGTTTCCAGCGTTATTTCCTAATTTCCTGCTCAGATGGAAGCTGGTTTGTTCTCGTTCACAGTACACTGTTACTGATGGCATCCGGCTAACGGATGTTGAGTATCTTGCGTAGACAATTACTTACGAATACTTGTGCCTTCTTGATGATGGTTGTAGTAGTTCTCCACGTTTCAGCCTCGTACAGTACGACTAACTGCCTCGACGTCCGTATTGAAGATTGTGACTTTGATATTGGTTGATAGTTGTTTTGAGTTTCATATATTCTTCAGTTGTAGGAATTCCGCCCTTGTTTTGCCAATCCTAGCCTTAACGTCTGCATCTGATCCTCCTTGTTCATCGATGATGCTTCCCAGGCACGTGAAGGGTTCCACATCTTCCACAGCTTCTCCATCAAATGTGATTGTGTTGGTGTTCTCTGTGTTGTATTTGTGGATCTTGTTTTTTCCTTTGTGCATTTGAAGCCTACTGATGCAGAGACTGCTGCTACACTGGCTGTCTTTATCTGCATTTGTTCATGTGTATGGGATAGAAGGACTGGGTCATCTGTGAAGTCCAAATCGTCCAACTGATTCGGAGATTTCCACTGTATTCCGTGCTTTCCCTCAGATGTCGAGATTTTCATAATCCAGTAAACCACCAAAAGGAAGACGAAGGGATAGGGTAGACAGCCTTGTCAATCTTCTCTGGAACTCCGTAGTGTCGAAGAAGTTTCCATAACGTTCTCCTATCTAGACTGTCAAATGCCTTTTCGTAATCAATGAAATTGATGTATAGTGACGAGTTCTGCTCAACTGATTCTTCGGCTATGATCTGTATTGTCGCAATTCGGTCTGTGCACGACCGATCCTTACGAAATCCAGCCTGTTGATCTTCAAGTTTGGCGTCTACTGCATCTTTCATCCAGTTCAGCAACACTGTTGAAAACTCCCCAAGCTTTGATGATCCTGGGTCCATGAGATTCCCATCATATATGTGCAACTCCCTGAGTGTGTGGAGTACAGCAGCATCTCTCCCATACCTAACCTTTATTGTCCAGCTTGTCTAATGGATTTTGCTGGTTCCGTGAGCCACTGAGTTGCATCTCTTCGTTTTCACTGCTATTTGGCTTGTACATAGACGGTGAATAACAGTGAGCTACCTGTTGTCTAGGCACATGATGACTTTGGAGCCGTCAACAGCCGACTTATTAACTACTATACGCTACCATGCGATAGCCATCAAAGGTGTTGGAACCCTATGGTCAATATCTAGGGTCTTTAGCTATGTCAACGCTAGAGTGTTCATGCTTCTTAAACCCATGTACTGCATACAAAGGGCTAGCTCTTGCCTAAAAAAGAACAGTGGACTTTTGGAAGATAATCAGAGAACCATAACTAAGCTGATATCCGGAGTAGAAAAGCTCCGGTATGATGACAGGCTGGTTAAGTTAGACCTATTTTTATTGTCATATTGAAGACTCAGAGGGGACTTGATCACAGTTTTCAAATTAACTAGTGATGAATTTGAATCTGGTGCGCCTTAATTTTTCTCGTCTTCTAAAAGAGAGAATTTACGATGGCACTCTAAAAAAGTTCACAAGCTCAAAACAAATTACGTGTTAGGTGACTATCGACTTTACCATTGAATCATCAACGAATTGAATTCATTGCCACATGTGGTTGAAGGTCCATCTGTCGATGCTTTCAAAAGTAAGTTTGATCAACTGAGAGACCACCACTGCAAGGACTAACATAGCTCACACAGCCTTCTATCCCTTCCAAACTGGAACTGTATATTGGAACGAGTACATAAAATATTAGACATTGGATATCGAGTGAGTCCTGCCTAATGACCTTCGCCCCTCACCTAGACGACCATACGGACCTGGCGCCACACACCCTTTACAGAAAAAAGGTAAGTTTTAAGTTATTATTTTCTTGCTCCTCTTGAATCCTCTTTACGAGCCAGTAATGCGTAATTACTGGCTTCTACTCATGATTTTTATTTGCTTGGTTGTCTACCCAGTTCAGTCACAAGCTTTTCATATGACATCACGAGGATTTTGTAATTACTAGAGTAATTTACATGTTCCGCAAGCAAATTATTGCTGTTTATATGTAAATAGTGCGTACTTTTGGACATCCATAAAATGAGGGGGAAACATTTGCATACGGAATAATGGGAGGTCTAATATGTGTATTTCTACATTTATTCATGTATGTGTATATTAGACAGTGAGTAGGCATAGTCAGGCCTTGAACTTATAGGCTAGCAAACAACTCAGGACAAACGTATCTTACAATCATTCACATTTTAGAATGAACTTCAACCGTGCCTCTTCCATGTAAAATATTTTGTGTATTTCGCTCGCTTATATTACTTACATACTCCTGTTACTCCTCGTGAAGGAACATAGGCCGCTCACCAGCATCGCCATCCAACTCTGTCCTGGGCAGTCCTTTCCAGCTCCTTCCAGGTGTTATTCATCCTTTCCATATCTGCTTTTATTTCCCGACGTAATGTGTTCTTTGGCCTTCCTCTTTTCCGCCTCCTTCAGGATTCCGAGTTAGGGTTTGTCTCGTGATGCAGTTTGACTATTTGCGTAGTGTATATATATATATACTCATTTCCACTGAACAGTTATTCTTTCTACTGAAACCTTCATCAATCGTTTGGCTATATGGAACATAAAACCTGGCATATCTGTAAATCTGTCCAAGCTGCCACACTACATCACAGCGATATGCTATAGTAGTGGGAGTAGTACTAGTATCGGTGCTGATAGTAGAAAAGATTAGGTATAGAAAGTGTAATTCAAGAAAACGAATTTGGGAAATCATGCTTACATTAGGTGGCCGTTTTACAGATCCGACGACTTCACAAAACACTGAGTCTCATAATCAGCATAAGTATTTAAAGTTTATTCTTTTAATTAGACATTCAGTCTGTTTTTATTTTTCTAACTATTTATTACAGATTAAAGTTATCAAACTGTGCATACAATCAGGTAGAATGAATTCACGCTATAAATAATGAGTTTACACGCAAGATCACATATTTGATTCCTGCAAATAATCCAAATTGGTTTTGAGAATCCTAGTCTTTGGATCACTTTTAAAGAAATTATCTCTAAACATGTTAACAAGTTATATGAATACAAGAAAGCCAACAATATTCAATTGTCGAATCAGTAGCAGTAGTAGTAACAGTAATGAAGATAAAAGTCTTGATAATAACTGTAGTAACCATTCAGCAACAAATATTATGGCACAGTTTGTGTGTAGTCGGTCGAAGTCTATTCAACAAGCCAGTAATAACATACTGGTACCACTTCTATTAATACTAATACTACTGCTACTCCTAATAATTCTAATCATAACAGTGTCGTCGGAGATGGTATGAACAAATTTAATAACACTTTAAATAATCATGTCCTGATGTCAGACCCATTTGTTGACACTACCAGTTCTACTACTCACACTATTAATCATATTAATAAGGACTTTGGCATAAAAAACATTTTAACGGAGCGGAATATATTTGATAAATTTTTAAGTTGTTTTCGCCCATTTATTTATCTTATCCAAAAAGAGAAGTCCTTTCCCTCATCAGATCAAGGTGATTTTCAAGTGGTTTATTTTTTATAAACTCAAATCTTACTATCTTTCTATGTTATTTCGTGTTATAGTTCAATAATGTGGGTGGTCAATTTAAAACATAATAGGTTTACGAACTTGTTAGCTCAGAAATACAATGTCCTATGTCTTGGCGATAACTATCTACCTGATTATCGAGATTTTACTGCTTATTAACATGAGTTGTGACAGGTGGTTTGAAAAGTCCCATGTAACACTGAATAAAAAATAGAATAATTCACACAGCACAACTAAAGTGTTGCATAATACGGTGGGTTAATCGGACGTCGCCAAATGAGAATGTCACGTTACCCCAATCAAAAATTTAATGATATGTGCATGTTTTTGGTCAAGAAATGGTTTCGTTTCCTAAGAAGTATATATATATGTATATATATGCTTATGCAATTGATTAGGTTTAACCCAATTAACTTCCTTCTCCGCTCGTAGTCTTTTCACTCAGTAGTCCCTTTGGGGTTTGCGTATAGAAATCTTATATATCAGCATCAAACTCGGACATCGTGCGTCATAACGTTGCATATGGACATATACGGTTTGTTTTAGTTTATGGTTCATTTTCTAATTATTCATCTGGGTTTATTTCAGTAGTCGAGAAACAGTAACTTTACATCAAAGTTAGATACTCAAGTGACTGTATTTTGTACGTTTATTAGTTAGTTAGGTGTAAATTAAACATAAAATTTAATAATAATCCAATATATATCCCGATTAGTGAAGCACTCCTAATTGTTCTTAAAACTTTGTTCGCTCTTTTACAATACCATTTACACACAAAACTTCATTAAATAATGATTATTAAACAAATTTTTGAGTACAAGATCAATTTTATGGAAGCCAGTCTACTGTTCTATCATTTCAGTGATCTTAACGATTACAGTTACCTCATAACCAACTCTGAAGATCTATTCATTGCCAAATTTACTATCAAGTGACGTTGTAAAGTATAATACCTCGAATAAATTTTTCTAACTACAATACTGTGTTGCGAAAGTATTCTTTTTTATTTAATCACTTGCTTAATTCTCATTTATCTAAATAGACTTACCATGGGAAGTCCCATTTGAATCAGTGACCGATTTAGTATGGATCGGGTCTGGTGCACAAGGCGTGGTTTTTCGTGGTTGTTTTCGTGATGAATTGATCGCTGTGAAAAAAGTTAATAAACAGTCTGACACAGATATTCGTCATTTACGTTATTTAAACCATCCGAACGTTATTAAATTCAAGTAAAAATGACTTTTGCTTAGTTTTTCATTATTAAATATCCAATTATTTTGTGATAAAATCTGTCATTATTGGTGTTTCTGGGAATATATATTTATGTTAAAGATTAAATGTAGCTTTAGTCACTGACTGAAGTCAGGAAGTCAACCATTAATAACACCAATTTAATGAGCAATTCATTAGTCACAACCTTCAACTCATTAAGTGCAGTATTTACTCTTAGTGAGATTGAAAACAGCACTACAATAAAGTACATTGCGATTGAGTTCAAACTTCAGTGATTGATAATTTCAAATTATTTAGTAGTTTATATCATGGACTGATCTTAGCAAGACAAATTTTGAAAACAAGGAAGCATTACACAACTGTTATTTTTTAACATCAGACTTCCCAACAGTGCTCATCCATAACTTCACTCCAGGGGATTGAACCCAGAGCTGTCAGGTCTGTTGATGCGCGCTTAATCTTCAAACCACTGATTTTGGATCCAGTGGTTTACGTTTCTAACTGCAATCCATCCGCTATTTCAGGTGACCATCCATTATCATCGATGGATAACTGCTTCACGTGATTTTTCACTAAAACCTCTAGAAATTAGTCACTAGTATGAGCAAATGATTAATATTAGTTTAGAGGATTTGTAGAGAATTCTAAATCTTGTGCTTTACATCACGAAATATTAGTATGAAGTAATTGGGTAATCTGTTGAAATCTAGGGGATATCAAATTTTGTAATGATGCAGAACAATGGATAGTCGTTTTCTCCTAGTCTCGATAATTTCTCAGTATATTCAACTTTATAACTCATTTCGCTGTCCCATTTAGGACTCATCAGCTGGATGTACTTGCGCCCGTGTTGATTTTCGCTCCAGGTCTCAAACCCACTATCATTCTTTTCAAATACTTAACGCATTATCCACTTAGTTACAGAATTTGGATAGCCATTGACTTGTGCAACAGGATGACTTAAATAATTTATGTTGGTTATTTAAATCTTTCCATTGATGTTGGGGACTACAACTAATCAGTCCCTGGGTTCGAGTCCCTAAGAAAACATCAACTCGGGGATGTGGCAGGTATATCCATCTAACGAGTCCTAAATTAAGGAATTTCCTAACGACCTGGCAGCATGACCAATGAGCCCAAGAGATAATTGCTTGGTGCAGGTCACACATAGCCTTTTTGCGAATAGTTCTTGATTTGTTAGCTCCATATTTTGCAAACTTTACCACCGGGAACGTAAGTTCATTGAGCAAGGTTAACTATGCTATTTCTACGAATGACCTTTTCTCACTTCTTTTTTTGCTGTGGAAAGATAAAATTGCTGCAAATACTGGTTGTCTGAGTAATACACTTCACTGCCATCACTACCCAGTATGGTCAGTAGTACGATTTCGCTCGCGAACCCTGAGTTGCTACTTTTAATCGTACCGTTTTCCAACTGATCTGCGTGGCACGATAAGACGTAAGGAAAAGAAATATTCTAGCAAATATTAGCTCAGTTTATTCATCACGAAATACAAGTCTTATCACCATGTAAAGGTACCGGGAACTGTTGTGACACTAAATGACTGCGGAAATCACATTTACAAAGTCAATACACAAGGTTTCACTTAATCTCTCTTTACTATATTACATCTGAAGATTTAATATCTCCTACAATATCATTACAAATTATTCGTATTTTTCATACATTTTCCGTATAATTAATTGGTTAATTCTAGAGGAGTTTGTGTGGAACAACCGTGTTACTGTATACTTATGGAATATTGTCCATATGGTCAGTTGTATGAAATAATACACTCAGGCAATCCTATATCACCATCTTTGATTTGTTCATGGGTTAAACAGATCGCCGATGGAATGCATTATTTACATTCATGTAAAATAATTCACAGAGATCTCAAATCACCAAAGTAAGTTTTACACAATAAGCCTCTATTATACTCCGTATCTATGTTTCACTTCGATTATATTAATGAGGTAGTAAATCGTCATCAACTCAGATGGTTAGGATATGTGTTGCGTATACCTAATCACCGCCTACCTCCACGGACGATGCTTTCTAGTGCAGGAGTAGGTTGGATGAAAGCTAGGGTCGATAAAACCAACAGTCTATAAAGTCGTTGATTATTGGACTGAGCCATGTTAACAGGTGTAGATTAATCGGTTGTGGTTTTCATAATTATCACAACAAATGGTTGGAGACTTTGAATGACATGGCCTAAAATTGTTTGCAATGACCCAGGTGCATCCACTCTCCATCTTTCCTTAGATCCTAAGCTTCTGAATTCCTCAGAATTGTTTAATTCACTGTTTCTTTTTGAGTCGCATCTTTGGTGCCTAATCTTTTCTATTACCACTAATACTGTTACTACCTCTATTACTCTGTAGTTTCCCCCAACAATCCTGAAGTAACATTTTATATTTGAGGGTGAAAACCGCATCGCAAACATACTTGCTTTGTTGCCTAAAGTGGTCAGAAGACTTCATGTAATCAACGTCTTCACCAAGCAGAACTATATCAACTTCGTATTCTTAGTCAACAATCGAATCTAGTGGTAGAGGATGAACACAATGAGTGTGAAGGAATCTAAGCAGTGTGGTAGTAGTGATAATGAGATAGATTAAGGATTAGATGTATCTTACAAAAAGTTAGAATAGAAATGTATGTGTAATGGAGCAATGATTTGAAGACATATGTTCTAAAATATGCAGCCTACGCTTATACTTTCACAAACCACGTATCCTAATATACATTACTATAATCATGATAAATATTTCTCAAATGTTGTTGCGTAATATTTTCTATATTTCAGTGTTTTAGTCGGTTATAATCACGTATTAAAAATATCCGATTTTGGTGCATCTCGTGAATGGACAGAGAATTCTACTAAAATGTCATTTACTGGCACTGTAGCTTGGATGGCACCTGAAGTAATACGTAATGAACCTTGTTCGTTTAAAGTTGATGTATGGTAAGTTGTTTCCTTATTTTGAAGATTAAATATGAGAAAAGGATATACTTTATTTTAGGTATCTATCATCTGTACTTAATAGTGTGTATGTACATTTGAATAACTGTGTTATAGGGCTTATAAGGTAATATGTATTGTTAAGTCTTGATAAATACGATTATTTTTATCAGAATTACCGTTTGCTTCAAACGATATTTACTAATTAAAGAACGATTAAACCATTCTAATGCAAATGATTTTATCGTAGACTTGATAACTGATTTGTCAAGTAGACCCAAAGATGAAATCTTATTTTATGAAGGAAGGTGTTGGGAGACCCAAAGAATTCCTTAAAAAGAAGTCCAGAGGGGCCCTTAAAACTCAGGGGAACATTTAAACCAATCAGCGTGTAGTAGAAGTCCCTCAAAAACATCTACAAGCTGAAGAGTCGCATTTCTGATTGGGTGATTACTTGTCCTGTTACTATGTTCAGAAAATGAACGGACTTACAGTACTGGAAACCAATCAGAAACGGGTAGAGGTTACGAGAAAAGTTGAATTAGAAATAAAAATACTTACAGTTATCACTTCTTGCAAGATTTTAACATTATTAGCAAAAATGGAATTTTCCCATGATTGCCTGAGGATATATATATATAATGGATGTAATATGTTTCTCTTTAATAAGGTCTATGCTGGTATGTAGCAGTCTAAAAACTCCTTCAACATCTCGTTAACACATATCTTTCCACATACTGTAGGGTGTATAGTGCGTCGTTACCTGAGATCATATTCTATGTCTGTACGAAAATTGGGTAGTTTAAACTAATAGGTTCTTTTCTTTTTATCAGAAGGGGTTTTTGTGGAGATTTTAGTAATTTCAATAGTTGAGATAATGATAAACGTATGTTACCTGTCATTCATTTGGTTATAATTCCTAACGTATTCGATAATGCTTAATATTTACAGTTAATTAATGAAATAATCACGAGTATTTGTTCCGGTCTAATTTTACTTCAAGGTCTTATGGTGTACTTTTATGGGAGTTATTAACCGGTGAAATTCCATATCACAATGTTGATTCAACTGCGATTCTATGGGGTGTTGGCAGTGAAAATCTTCGTTTGCCAGTTCCAGTGACATGTCCTTCAGAATTACGTGTACTTATGAAAACATGTTGGTAAGTAAATGGGGGGGGTACTTTTGTTTTTCAAATTATTGACCTTCTGAATGCAGTTTAGGTAGGTTCCTCTACTGATACATACGCTTAAACTATCTTCCTAGCCGATTCCGGTAATCTCAAACTACTACGGATCAACTGGAACACTAGAGAAGGAGAAGAATGCGAGTAAAAGCTTTACTCCAAAGTTAGTCGATGTACAGAAAAACAAAGATATTTATGAGATCATACACGAACTTGGGACTGGGAATTTCTGGAACCATAATAAGTATGGTAGGAGTATAGGTAAATATCCAATCAAAATTGTGGCGCGGGATTCTGTATTTTCTAGATATTTTTGCGAAGATTCTATTCAAGGCTGATTGGATAAAATTTTTATTGGCGTTTCTGGCCTCTAGAGACTTTGTTAAAGGATATTTTAGGAGCTCCTCCAACAGTTTGCAAATGAGATCAGTTTTTGGACAACTCAAGTCAAAAAGACGCATAAAATTGACATGTTTTTTTGTTAATAATCCTATAATATCGATTAACTTCATTTGAGATAAGATTGTAATTTTCTTTCTATAAACTTTCCTACCAAATACTCTTCCGAGCAGAAAACATGAGAAAAGCATTCATGATACAGAATGATCACAAATCCAGCGTATCATATTTACTATTCTCATAATTACAAGTTTATGCCTCTTCAGTAATATTATTTATAAATTGTTTATTCTGGTTAGCATTTTTTTAGCAAGGTTGTTTTATATAGGATGGGTTTGCTGACCCACATGCCCAACCCTCTTTTTTTTAACCGGGCTTGGGCCGGCAGTAATCATAGAAGAGCTACCTGGGGAGTTCATAAGTTGTATTAATTTAATTAATTCTCTTTGGTTGACAATAAAAAAGAAATTACCCTTTTCAATTATGGTGAATGAAGCTCAATGAGTTGTGTGTGTGTTATATGTGTTTTTAATTGAAAAAATTGCCAACACCAGAAAAGTGTTTCACATCATGAAAACTATCAGATTATTATTTTGTTATTACTGGTAGACAGTAGGATTTTTTTGCTTAAATTAGATATTTTTTGTGATATAGAACTTTGATTCAGTCAGTGAGTCAGTCAGCTACAACGTAGGACCAGGAACATATATGCATCGGTTCAAGTTGCCACACCTCACTCATTAGCACAACAAAATGAACACCAAATTCATAGAAGTAGTTAACTCAATGGTAATAATATATAAAAGAAGATTGCATATAAGAATATAGTACAGGAGGAAAGAATTAGTTCGTAGAAAGAAAGATATGAAGCGATTTTCATCTCACGGTTTAAGGGAAGACGCAGAGTGTATACACCTACGCCACTGTGATCGATTGTGAGCCATGTCACACACAGTCTCCATTCATTAGTTACGATAGTCACATCGACCACAACCAAGTAGTCTGTATCTACCAACATGGCTCAGACTAGAAGTTAGAGACTTTATGGTCTGATGCCACGTTTTGGTTTGGCCACCCCCGTCTAACTGTCTTCCAACCATCCCTAACACTAGTCAGTATTGCGCATCGTGGTAATCGGTGTTCAGGCATACGTAACACGTGACCCAACCATCTCAGTCGATGAAGAATCACAACCTCATCAACTCGTTTACCATCCTTCCCTAATACCTTGCGTCTAACCTCAGTATTACTTACCCGATGACCCCAGCAGATACGAGCAATATTTCTAAGACATCTGTGATCAAATACTAGCAACTTACAGGTATCTCCTACTCTTAATGATCATGTTTCGCAGCCGTAAAGTGTGCTTTGAATTTGTGTACAAAATAAGTCATAGAGTTTTGACACTTCTATGTATATCTTATTATTATTTATTTTTATTCCTATGGAGTAGGTTACATTGATTGTTTTTAAATGTGCTTACGAAGAAATACCGTGGCTTGGTTCTTTATTTTATGGCTAATGAAAGTAATATGTAATTAACTATTGAGTGTAAATAGACAGATACTCAATTTACTGTTAAATATGTGATTCCTTTCATACTATTGATATCTACTCTAAACACATTGAGTGTAGGCTGTTTTGTAATTGCTTTAAATAAAGTATTATCTTGTTGTATATTCTAGTTCACTATATTCGGTTGTGATCTTGTATCTAGTATAAGATGATCCTGAGCTGTGTATAGCATGTCGATCGAGTATCCAGTCTAATGGAAGCAAATGAGATCTTGTTCACGGATCGGATCATCGTACAATAAGTGTGAGAATGGCCCCCGGATGAACTGTAAAAACCTCAGAAAAAGCCGGAGGCATTCCATCCAGTCGTCTTTTGGAAGAACGTTCCAGAATTTCGACGTGGAGTTTCCCTACAAGACAAAAGTTAAAATCCACTGCACGTGGATTGGATGACTGTAATAATGATTTCACTTTTACTAGATACTATAAATACCTGAGAGTTTTGTACCATATTTGACACTGTTTGGGATAACATTCCTTCTCACTAGTCTTCTGTGTTCTCAATTTTGACTTGGATAGTTCTAACGTTCCAGTGCTCAAGTAGTACGCGGTATAACAAGAAAATCTAAACTCTAGATATAACAAATAGCGTATCGTGCCAAACAGAAAATATTTTTATTTCCAGTTTTACCAGTCCTGTAAAGGAGAAAATAACAGTATGTCAATGTGTAACTTCAGTATCACTTATAGACTATGTTCAGTTCCTATACACATTATGTGCCTGGTTCTTCTGCTACTCACTTTTTATCTCTGTACGGATTAATGTAGTGATTTTTCGGTTTTCAGTCTCTTTGCTTCGAACAGTGCACTAATTGTTTTTGTCTACCGTATTTGCTCTCCTCCAGCTTTATATTGTCGTTTCCACTTTCATTTTGTATTCACATTTTACCTATTTACTGCTAACCACCTAGGTAACTTATCTGTACCATCTTCTTTTTATCAGTCATCAAAAATATCCACCTATACATCACGTAGTCATTAACTACCGATTACGTGAATTTGGGCAAGACTGTCTCTTGTTTTTGTTGTACATTTTCCTAGATTTCGAACATGTTCTGGTGTATACCGAACTTGTATTTCAGTGTCGTGGGGACGACCCTTGAGTGACGCTAAAGTGACCTTGAGAATGTCCACCTATTAATCAGTACTAAACGACAGTTATAAACCAATACGAAGAATTAGACTTATGATTTACAGCTAACGGTTAGGGTTAAGAATCAGATTTAGGGTTTTCATCACGAACTGACATCAGCTATAATACCAAGACTCTATTTAGCCAAATGGGTGAATGAATTTCGTGCTAACATCCAAGACACGTTATCCAAAATTTGACTATTTTGTCCATAAATTATAGTCTCACATCAGTGGCTATTAAAATTCTCATCTTAAACTACTGATTAAACATATATATAGGCAGAATTTGACCAGACCTTTTGTGTGTTTTCAATCAAATAGAATAAGTTTGGCTAAATGTAGCTAAGTGGATAACGCGATGGCGTTTGAAGCGAACGACACTGGGTTCGAGTCCCAAAGTGAACATCAACTCCATGATGCAAGTACATCCAGCTGACGAGTCACAAATAGGACGAAACTCACGTCAAATTGGATTCCACTACTGGCCACTATCCATTTTTACTTAAAAAGCTTGTGACTTAAAACTATATCAAGGCAATCCGCACAGGATGTACATATGCCTGATCAATCACAGTTCCAAATAACAATGAGAAGATACAACTAAAACAATATCAAGTGAATTTAAAAATGCTTTTCCAGCTTATATGCTTAAAACTTACATTTGATTGTCTATTTTTTGTTCCCGTATTTTTCTTATCCGACAATGATGTAATACATTCAAATATAAATTCTATGTTTTATTAATCCTTTTTCTTTTTCTCTTTTATTTAATGAATGTGGTAATTCAGTTGTCATCTTACCCCATAACATACCGATATTTTATATTGTAAAACATTTTTTGGGTTTTACTTAACTAATTAAATAGGCGTTTCCTTTGTTTTCTTGTTTTTCCTAAAGAGGATTAACTATCTTAGTCATTATTGTTTATTTTGACTAATTATTTGTCAAAGTATATTATTTAGCCTGAAAGTTAATTAGAGAGCATTAGAATTCTTGTTTTGTATTCTACATCTATGTTCTATATTGAATTACAGGACTTTTAAGTTTCATTCAACTATCCTTTTTTGTTTCTCAGTTGGTTACTAACTGTTATTCCTTGCAGATTACTCAAAACTCAAATTCCATCTTACTTAATTTAGTTTTAGCCTATCTTGGCATGTGATGTTGACTAGTTTAGGAATAGATTGGAAGTAGAAAACTTATGGGGTGGTCAAACTAAGACTTTAAAGTTCACAAATTCATTTACGGTTAGATTGAGCCATGTGGATGGATCCAGACTACGTGGTTGAGTTCCTCGCAGTTGTCGTAATTAGTATTTGGAGACGTTGGATAATTTAGCTCAGAATCAGTTACTATGGGGTGATGTGTTCACTTTTTTTTACCCGTAGATCTTAAGTTTCAATATTATCTTTTCTTTTTTATTCCATGAATTCATTTCCTCTCGAATCATATTCCCATTAACACCACTGATACAGTTACTACTACTCCGAGGTTTGTCTTAGTGCGTTAATATGGTGCAGCAATTTGAACTGATGTACAAATGTTCCAGGTTCTATATTCCATATGACTAACTAATTGACACCGTTCAATCAACACAGGATTACAACTTTATGTCACTAAAATGAACATTTTTATGGGATTCTTTCAGAATTAGTAATTATACTAAGAGATGGATTTTATCGGTAAAAAGCTTGGTTCTACCTAGTGAACGTTCATACTAAATGATTAGGCAGATACACGATCAAATCGTCACTTTGTCCTCTACTGTTCATATTTTTCCGATCAGTTTCACCTTTTTATACATATTTTTATATACTGCTAAGCTCTATGGTTTTGTATATAACAAAAAACTACAGCAGTTTCACTCCA